GTTTCAACACAAAAGCTTCAACACCAAAACTTCAACATCAAAGCTTCACCCAAAAAAAAAAAAAATCGAAAATTAAAAAAAAAAAAATACAAAAAAAAAAGGAAAGAAAGAAAGAAAGAAATGAGCCTAGGCCTCCATTTCTTTGGGCCTAACAACTTTCATACCAAATATATATGAAGGAGGAGTTTTGGGCAACCGCTTAGAAAAGAAAATGGTGAAGTTTTGTTTGGAAAATTGCTTACTAGCAAGACACCTCCCTCGACTGGAGACTTGGGGGACTCTTACCATATACCACTACATCTTGGTACTCAGAAATTTCGCGACTACTCAGTGCCTTGGATTTTTCAAGTCCCCAACCGAGAAGTTTTCCTCACTCAAGAAATTAAGGGAGCACTACTTCAACCTACAGGATCCACCCATGAAGTTTCAACATGCAAACTTCAACAAAATAAAAAACTCAAGCTCGGCATCATTGCTCTAATTGAAGAGATCGAGAAGCCTCAACAACTTTTTGCTAACACCGTTGTCGAAGAACAAAGCTTCGCCATACCACATCTACTATTTTGTCAAACAGCAAAAGTATCTCATATCATCAGGTTCGAACATACTCCAGGTTTGACGGACTTGTTTTGACCCTCAAATCTTGGAGTCGGCTCGCTCCTTTGGAGGAAACCAGAAAACCCTCCAGCCTAGTTCAAGAATACACCTATGGAAAGTCAAGTACAACAAAGCACATGCTGATTCGTCCGTCTTCTCCAAAAAAAAAAGAGTACCTCATATCATCTCTTCTCCCTGTTTCTTCTCTTTATCTTTGTTGCTGAATGAGAGAATCAGCCGGAACCCAAGATCAACCTACCGATCTGAGATTGATTGCTTGGAGCCCTGATTGCTTACCTTGTCTGTCACCTCCTTCAGCAGATCTCCTCGCTTAGAGACTTGGGGGACTCCTACTATATGGTTTGTATCGCACTTGACCAAACCCGAAACTACAAGTAAGCTTCAAATGAAAATGATACATTACCTTGTGCGTCAACGCCAACTAAAGATACCACTCTTGGATGAAGGAAAAGTACTTCCAAGAGAAGATGCCACATCTACTTACAAGACAGAGAAGGCAAGTGAAGGCGACACCACACTTCGGTACTTGGAAGTTTCGTGATTACTCAATGGCTTCGATCTTGCAAGTCCCCAATCGAGGAGCTTCCCTCACTTGGGAAGTTAGGGGAGCACTGTTTGTACCATACTTGACCAATCCCAAAACTATTAAGCACCGGTCAACAATATCTCTATCATTATTCATAGTTTCTGATTCATTTTTACAATGTCTTCTTCTTCAAGGATGATGTGGGAAATTGATCAGTAAGAGGAAGAATTGTTTAACCAATCAGAAGGAATATTCAATCTCCAGGTGGCCCAAAATGAGAGAGAATAGGATGAGAAGCGTAAAAGGAGAGATGACAAAGCAAGAATGGGCAAAGCCTTCCCGTGGAGTCATCCAAGCTGTGGGTCAGATATGCTAGCCCAGCCAGTCTGTAAACCTTGATAGAAGCTGTGGTGTAAGGTAGATGATAATGAAAAGGTATTTATAGAAAAGTTAAAAAAAAAAAAAAAATTTAAATTTTTTTCGGATTTTTTAAAATTTTTTACAATTTTTTAAAATTTTTTATTCAACTAATTAATCTCTGCCGTTGGATTTTAAAAAAATTGAATTCCAACACTCCAGATTGTGCCATGTGGCACAACGGTAACATTTCTGAATTTTAAAACCTTTTTTTTTTATATTTATAAAGGAGAATAATATCAACCATTGATCTCAGATCCAACGGTTGATATTAAATAAGATTTTTTATGTTTTTTTACCATTGCAAATCTGACGGTCCACATTTTCTTGCCGTTAAGATCCAACGAACCATGAGAAGCCACGTGGCTTCCCAATGATAACAATTTGAAACTGCGTCGCGGGCCCCATCCGTTGAAAACATGTCAGGTGACGTGCCCCCACACACGGGTGCAGTGCACGCGCCTGACATAAAAAAAATAAAAAAAGGGTTTGACGCCTGGTTGACGTCAGCCTTGCGTCAGATAGCCTTCGGGCTCGCGGGCTGGTAATTCGTGACAGGCCTAGTGCTCGGGCCCTACGCTGTCCCTCGGACTCCCACACACTGGAGTCAATAGGCTGAGCTTTCGTGCCCTGTTTGCTGGCCTGTTCCCCAGCAAAAGCCAACGCTGAAAGTGCTCTAAGAGATTGCATACTGTCGGCAACAGACCTGGACTCATAAACACAAAACAAAAATATTGAATCGTTCCGTTAGAACTTTAGTCTCTAGAATTATATTTTATTACTATTATTTATGATGTTTCTTTTACTGCAGGCACATCTACAACCACGGAACAGATGAAAGGAGGTGACATACTCATTACATGTACTGGGTTTAATACTAAAGTAGAAAACTACACATACAATATAAGTGACACTAAGAGGTACCAAAACATGTATACATGTATAAAAACAGGCAAATGTATAAGCTAAAAGTTATACAATATTGCACCTGAGTATTGGTATGAAACTTCCAACAAAAATGTAATGAGATAATACAAGTTATCCAAAAATTATGAATAACGTGTAAAATTACCAAAAATTTTAGATACTGAAGAATGGGGTTTTTTAAGACGCACATCATAAGATGGCCGCCAAAACCAACCCTTTTCTTTATGTATCATGATGTCTTTTCGTGTCTCATTTTGCCTTGGCTTTTTCCATAAGAAAAGGCAGCCTTTGCGCAGAATCTACGGAATTAACTGCCTGGATGTTTTTATGTACACCAATGCGGTACCGCAATCCAGATTCGGAAACAAGTGATGACATATCTAAGGAAATTGACTCGGCAAATCCCAGTATTTTCCTTGGTCAACGAACAGTTCAGGCCATGCAGCCCCAAGTGTAATATCATGGTAAGGAAGCCGCAAACATCTTAAAGGTTGAGAAAATTTAATACATGGCTCATAATTTAAACAGGAAGATAAATGAAGGAAATAAAGGTACAGACATGCAATTTTTCACTAAAACAGCTTAGGGAGCACATGTGCAGACATGAAACTTTCTACTTTTATCTATGTTCGGTGCAGTGCATATGTGCAATGTTATCAAGCCATGTAACCTATATTTAAAAGTGGTAAACATAAGAAAGGTGTAAATTAAGACATTTGAAGCATGTTGATATATATGACCTATATCCAAGGTATGTTCAGGAAAGAAATGAAAAAATTGTGGCCCCATTTGGTCTCTAAGATTGGATTGAAATGGACAACCCACTATATTCAAGGAATGTTGACGAAAGAAATGAAAAATTTGTGGGTTACTTGAAGGTAGGAGATGGATTATTTTCCATTCCAATTTGCCAAAATGGTAAGGATCAGAAGGGGTTATTTTCCATCATGTCTTATCCCCCTTCTAATCCCCTCAATATGAAAAAGCATTCACCTCTATCTTTAATATACCATGTATACAGTAGTTTAACCATTCCATTCCAATCCTAGAGACCAAACAAGGCCTTATTTTTCAATAATTAAGAAATTAGGAATAATACTTTTAAGATTATACATGCTGACTGAATCTGGTATATGTTCAAGTGATTAATAGCTCATATAGATAAATCCTTAGAATTACATATGTATAACTTTAATTCCTATATGAAAAATTTGTCGTATAAATCCTTAGATTATACATTTAATTTTATTTAACTTTAATTACACATCGACATCTTATGAAAATATCCTAGATATATGCATTTAAATAAACAAATGGAGTGTACTAAGTCAGGATAAACACTGAGGGCGCATTTGTTTGCACTCGCTAACTCTCATTGGATTGGACTGGATTAAATGTTAGTCCAGTCCCCTATTTGTTACCCACTGAGACTAACGTTAATGACATTAACCTTCACTCGTCTCGATTAACCATGGGATTAGCTGGTCATAGTGAACCCCCTCAAAGACCATGGGATTTCTAGTCCTGTTTCCAGAACTGCATACGATGTTTGCATTGCAAGTCTACATGCATGCTTCTGGGCAACTCTGTTTGCCCACCCATGCCCGGATCTGAAACTCAATCCCACCCTTAAATCTCAAAATCCAGCCACCAAAATTTGAAAAGAAAAAGCAACACAATAACAATAACAATCTCAATAGAAAAATTCTTGTTTATTCCTGAAACTTCCTAGAAATCTCCCAGATAATTGTTCTTTTTCCCAAAAAATTTCGGAGAAAAATGGATAGAGAAGGGGAGAGAGTAGCTTTGGGGATAAAAAGAGATGGAGAGATAGAGTGGGAGGAGAGAGAGTAGTTTTGGAGATGATTTTGCAGGAATATGGTTTTGAAGTGTTTTGCAGAAAAAAATGGAATTGAACTTTGAAGCATTTTGAAGGAAAAAAGATGGGAGGAAAGGAGATAATGGCAATGAAACCAAAGAGGAAGAAAGTATTCTAGAGAGACGTAGAACTGTAAAAGAGTGTATAGAAGGAAAAGCTTGAACTCATAATTTAATATTATTAGACATATATTAAATATTATAATATTATAATTTATTAATTATTCTATTTTTTAGTCCGACACTGCATCAAACAGTTCACTAACTTAGTCTGACTTAATCTAATCTAAATAAGTCAAACTTAGTCCCCAAAACTAGTTCAGTCTGAGATAGTCCGGTACAACAAACACATTCTAAGAGACTTACAAAACTCATCAACTAGTAGACAATTTTATCTCTATGCTTTGCCACTCAAACTCTTTTCAACTTTTAAGTAAAAGTGGCACGACACTAACACCAATCAACTTCTTCTCAAATATTTGCAAAATAGAAATATTGCAGCAGCATTCCTCATCTTTCAACGAGATTCTTCAATCAAACAAAACCACCGCCAACTCTGTAAATAGCTTTTCCACCTGTTCACCCAAATTCGATGTAACACGCGAGAACCGCGACGTACCCTCTATACGGAAGGTAAGCAATTTGTCCTACTTTAGATTTTTAAAAATTCTTTACCAAAGAAATTAATCTTCTGGTGATTTTTCTAGGGTTCCAAGGATTGAAAAAATTATGGGTTCTTGGAGGATTGGAGTGAGTGAATCTTCCCCTCCGCCTCTTCGCCTCATCTGGCAAAACATCGTCCCATTTAGCTCTGTTGCTCGCAATTAACAGAAAAATATTCGAAACCTAAAACCCTCAAACCAGCAAAGCGAATTCCTACACTTAAAATTCGAACCCAACAAATCGATTTCAAGTGCTAAGCGGCTAGGTTCTAGGTCTTCTAATTCCGGCGAGCTGTTTTCGTACGAATGCCGGCAAACCGTACAGTGTCGTCGTCTTGCCTTCGTCTTTCAGTTTCGAAATTCCAATTTAAGGTATGAGGGGTTTCAAATTTATTTATACAACATTTTTAGCAAACCAAGTGAGCTATCCATCGATGAAGCAGAGTGGGTAGGATTAGTTGCTTCTTTTACAAATTGTAATCACCGCCAATTTTCCCACTTTTACAAATTTATTTATACGAGAATTTATTTTATTTTATTTTATATTTTTGTCTCCTTTTTCTCTGTTTAGCGGTCGATGAAAGCAGAGTGGGTAAGATCAGTTGCTCTGCAGCCTCACCCTCCAAACGCTACCCCATCACTTTGCTTCCCGGCGATGGCATTGGCCTCAACCTCGCCCCCTCCATCGATGGTTTCTTTTAATTCTGCTTCCGTTTTCTGAATTTTATTTCAGGTGCCTGAGAAACGGTGGGAAAATTAAAAGGAAAAGTCTTTTAATTTTCCCATATTTTCTTTGGGTTAATGTTTAACAATTTGAGCTGCTCTGTGTGTTGTATAATCGAGAAATTTTGTTGGGAAATTAGTAATTATATAACATTTGGATATTTGTATAACTGAATATGTTTACATAAACTAGAGATTGATTTTAAGTATGAAGAAGTACCTATTGGTGGAGCTGGCTTAGATTTGACTGGAGTGCCATTACCTGATGAAACCCTTTTGTCAGCTAAGCAATCGACGCAATTATTCTTCTCGAAGCAGTTGGGCGTAGGTCATGATTGTACTTCTCAATCCGTTTTATTTCTTAGTGATTATCCTTTTCAAGTGATATAATTTAGTTAATTCGATTATGGTTTTTGTTTCAAATTTTGGCTTCAATCTCTTTACTTTGTGTAGACATCGAAATTTCAGTAAAAAAAAAAAAAAAATGTTCACCAATGCATTAAAGTTTTGACGTGTCAAGGCATACATGGCATACGCCACGTGTTGTACAAATTGTACACATGGCGTGTGACTCAACAAAATAGGAAGAAATACCCTTGAAGGATTAAACAAGTTTTTCTTCTCATTTTGGGCAATGACAAGGCAAGTACATTTCAATCCATTGAGGATCAAAACAAGTTTTTCTTCTCATGTTGGGCAATGACAAGGCAAGCACACTTCAATCCATTACGGATCAAAGCAAGTTTTTCTCATTTGGGCAATGACAAAGCATACACATTTCAAGTTTAAAATGGTGTTAAGTGGGAAATTAGGCCATAAGTTACACCACTTCAAGTTTAAAATGGTATTAAGTGGGAAATTAGGCCATAAGTTACACCACTTCAATTTCAATATTGCATTAAGTGGGAAAATTAGGCAATGGTGCTTGGAAAGGAAAAAAATATTTTGTGGTGGTGATTCATTCTCAAAGCCTATAAATAGGCTTCTCCATCAAGGTATCAAGCATCAACCAATTCACAAATACATTTCTCTACACACCAAAACCTTGAAGCCTTAAGTTCTAAAGCTCTCAAGAAAATCCCGAAGGATCAAGAAAGCACTCTTCGTTCTTCGTCCAATCGTTCTTCAAGATCAAGCCCCAACGGCCCTTGAAGAACTTCCACCAACTCAAGATCAAGCCCCGACGGCCCTTGAAGAAAGTGTTCATTGTTCATCATCCGTTCATCCTAAGATCAAGCCCCAACGGCCCTTTGGATCAACAACCTCAACAAATCCACACATCCAATCGTTCTTCAAGATTAAGCCCAAAAGCCCTTGAAGATCCGCTAATCCATCAACCTTCAAGATCAAGCCCAAAAAGCCCTTGAAGAAATCCACACAACCATTATTCAAGATCAAGCCCCGACGGCCCTTGAAGAAAGTGTTCATCCGTTCATCAACTGTTCATCCTTAGATCAAGCCCCGACGGCCCTTTGGATCAACAACTCATCCACAAACCTACACCCTACGAAGATAGAATCAGAGGACCAAATTTGAGAGAGATCGTAACCCCAAAATCATTAAACACAAAATATTATTTTGTACACGTTATTCTTGATTCTTGTTTCAAGGAACTTTCGTGTTCACACTTTGATTCTAATGAATGAAGCGAATTGTTCTCAAAATTTCAAGTTTTTCATGAATATGTTGCATTTCTTTAAAGCATGATTTGATTTTTTATTGTAATTTCAACATTTTGGATCTCTGTATGCCTTTTTATTATATTATTGCTCATTGGATCGGATTGATTTGGTGTGCAGAATTTGAAATTTGTTGAGGGGGCCTAATGTTACCAATGATGAAGTCTGCGCTTTTGGAAGGTAAGTAGTGATATTTAATTATTGTTTATTGCATTTTGTCAAATTTTATGGGAAATTTTCTGAATTAGGTGTGTGCTTGATCCGAAAAAGTCTCAGAACATTGCAATTCTTGCTTATTGCATTGTGTCCAATTTGGAAGGTAAGTTGTGATTCTGTAAGGATGTATTGAAGGACCATTTGTTTAGTTCGTTAGTGGAATTTCGTTATTTATGTATTTCCGATATACTTGGTACATTGATAATTAAGGTTGAAATGTCATAAGGTTCCCTTGGTTTATGATTGACAAATAAGAAGGAATTGAAGAAGTGGGTTTAGCCTTTTAGGTTAGTGGGGAGAACGGTTACAGAATTGTACTTGTTGTTATTGCAGGGAAATGAAACATAATTGCCGCATCTGCAAAATTATTGAGTGGTAGCAATTTGCAGATTCCCTATTCAATTGAAGTAATTTGTTTCAAATTTTATTTGTCTTCCTGTAATTTTCTGAAAAAAGGGATTGTTTTGTTGCAAAAAGCAAGGCTATGCTCCCATTTCTTCAAGACTTGAAGTTTTCTATAGTCCCTGGCTTTATCTTCGAATTCAGGTATTTTGTTATTTGATTGCGTTGTATTTCTTGATTTGAATGAAATGGATGCATCTAGTCCTGCAATTAAACATGAATTCCATGGAGTCCCGTAAACTTAATCATAATTGGTAATTTTGACTAATTTTTTAAAATTTTGACTGATCAAAACAGTTTCAATAAACTTATTGTAAGTGCTATGGATAGTTGGTTTGATGTAGTTTATCTCTACTCCAATGACTACAAAACACTCAAGTAACATGTACAAATTTCTTCTGATTTCACAATTTCCATGAATAATTCATGCCTTTTGTTATGTTTACTTGATTTCTAGTATCATCATGTTACTCGTCAAATTGTTAATTATGTGTTTTTCCACATCTAATTTCTAAAAATGATTTCCATCCGTTCAGAAATAAAAAATAAAAATAAATAAATGATTTCCATTTTGCACAAAATAAAATATAAGTTTCCCGAATGAGATTGTAAATTTGGCTAGCTTGGAGGTTTTGGGGATGCTGAGAACCAATTATCAGGTCACATTCCCCCGGGTGTAGGAAAGGTTCACAAGTTATATCTATTAAATGTGAGTAGGAACTCTCTCTCTTTGGCAATCTTACGTCCTCTTTCGGAAATTTAAGTCAATTAAATGAGTTAAGCTTAGAAGGCAACAACTTCCAGGCAATATCCTGCCAAGTTTAATAGTGTGTCAGAATTTGAGGCTTTTATATCTTGGTGAGAACAGTTTTAGTGGTATCATATCGCAAGAAATCATTGATCTGTTGAACTTGTATATATTTAGTTTACCTCAAGATCATTTTCTCGGCTCCCTACCAGAGGACGTAGGAATTTTAATAAATCTTGAGTATATAGATATCTTTGAAAACATGTTATTCAGTGAAATTCCAGCAAGTGTAGTTAGTTGTATAAAAGTAGAGTATCTAGACATGCATGGAAATTTCTTCCATGGGACGATTCCATCAACTTTGAGTTCACTAAGAGTTCTTACAGAATTCTATCTTTCTGACAACTTGTCAGGAGCAATTCCAGAATTCTTAGAACGTTTGAATTTTTTGGAATCTCTGAATCTATCTTATAACAATTTTGAGGGCATGTTGCCGATCAAGGGAGTGTTCAAGAATGCAATGGCGACATCAGTTGAAGGAAATAGCAAGCTTTCTGGGGGCATATCTGAGTTTCATTTGCCAAAGTGCAACTCTCCAGCATCCAAAAAAAGAAAGGATTGAGCTTAACCATGAAATTGGTTCTCTCTCTCATTTGTGGGATTTTTGGAGTTATTTTTGCACTAACCTTTTTGTACCTTTATTGCTCACGGAGGGATAAAAAAGATCGCACTTAAAGTGATTTAGACAAACTTCCCCAGATGTATCATACCAAAGTCTTCTAAGAGCAACAAATGGATTCTCCTCAACCAACTTGGTCGGTATGGGCAGTTTTGGGTCCGTTTATAAGGGAATACTTGAGCAAGGTTAAACTACAATTGCGATCAAGGTACTCAACCATGTTCATTTAGCAGGGCTTACAAAAGTTTTATTTAGGAGTGCGAGGCTTTCCGAAATATTGGACACCGTAATCTTGTCAAGATAGTCTCAGCATGTTCTGGTTTTGATTATCGCGGTCACGACTTCAAGGCCTTAATTTACGAGTTCATGGCTAACGGGAGCTTGGAGGAATGGCTATATCCAATTCATACAATTGGTGAGACAAATGAGAGGCCAAGGAGCTTAACAATTTCTCAGAGTTTGAATATTGTTTTTGATGTTGCTATGGCATTGGATTATCTCCATCGTCATTGTGAGACGCCAATAGTTCATTGCAACCTCAAACCTAGCAATATTCTTCTCAATGAGGATATGATTGCACATGTAGGTGACTTTGGGTTGGTGAGGTTCCTACCAAAAGTTGCTGAAACACTACGAAAAATATGGGATTTGGTGTACACAAATGAAGAGTTTGTGTCTTTGAGAACACTAATATGGTGGAACAGTGTCCATTCAATAAAGGATACAATGTATTGTACTCAGTGTAAAAAGAAATGGACACAAACACATTATTGGGCACGAAGCCATGCCAAGTAGTGCATATATATATATAGATATATAATTATTGGTCTGACAATTGTATGACAAAATATAGGCACAAAAACTTTTAGTGTCTATAAATAGACAGTAGCGCACAATTTGTTTGTGTCTGTGGAACATGCGAACATCTTTTTGCTGAATTGTGATGTTTCCATTTCTACTACTTGATCCTTCTTACAGCTGAGACATTGGATTTTGTTGTGTGTTCCATCTTGATTTTATGAAATTTTCTGATTTATTTCAAATTTTGACATTTTCATTTTCAAAATATAACCTATTGGGCACAATAACAAAAATTGGGCTAATATGGATGGGGAAAGTCATCTGATAACTTTTTCAGAACAGAGGCACAAATTTTTTTTATTTGTGCTTACCTCTTTGAGCACAAAACACCATATTGTACTCTATGATCAAAGGGCACACCCATAAAGGCACCTATAAATACCGAGTTACAAACCATAAGTGTTCTCACACCGGCGACTTAAGTATTTTGCAACAATGGTAGACGATCGATGCTTGACAGTTGACCTACACAAAGTCTATAATGAGATTTTACCGAAGGCTTTCAGTGATGAAATGAGTAATCTCGAACCATTGATTGAGTGAGTTGAAAGAAATTCCAAAGTTGTTACTTGCACTTTAAAAAAA